CACCCTTAATAGATTTAGATTTTGTCACAAAGATTAGGGAACTGGAGCATGATGAAGCTTATAAGTACCTAGGAATTAGCGAAGGAGTTGGCATACAACACCCCCAAATGAAAGAAAAAAATAAGAAAAGAATACTACAGGCGTGTACGTCTGGTACTAAATCCTGAGCTAAACTCAAAAAACAGAATATCGGCCATAAACACATTGGCTGTGCCTGTGGTGCAATACAGATTTAATGTCCTTAACTGGACCATAGCTGAAATTAAGCGAATGGACGCCAAAACGAGAAAGCTTCTCTCTTGCTATCGCATGCATCATCCCAAAGCTGATGTTGATCGTCTGTATGTGCCCAGATCCGAAGGAGGCAGAGGATTAGTTCAACTAGAACTGTCCTATAAAACTACAACAATTGGCCTACAAAGATACTTGGAAACTACAGAAGCCTGGATGATGGTATGTTTCAAGAAACATGAAAGTAGTAAGCGTCTTTACTCCGTAATAAAAGAAGCCAACAAATTCAAAATAGAGTTTCAAATGGACGTAGAGATGCAACTTCAGCACAATACACCGACTGAAACTGCAAAATACTTAAAAAAAGACAGCAAAGACGAATGCAACCGACCAGATACAGAAGCGATGGCAAGATAAACCGCTTCATGGCCAATACTCTGCCCGTACCAAACAAGCTGACGTAGACAAAACCCGTACTCATCAGTGGCTACGTAGGGCAGGGTTGAAAGCGGAAACTGAAGGTTTTATCCTTGCTGCGCAGGACCAATGCTTGCTAACTAGGAATTATCAAGCACATATACTAAAATATTGTGTCAGACCAAAATGCACATTCTGTGATAAATATCCAGAAACGATTGATCATTTTGTATCAGGTTGCACGGTGTTGGCATCCACTGAATATAAAACCCGACATGACAGAGTGGGCCAATATCTGCACTGGAAAATATGCAATTTCTACTGGAAGAAAACTGAAAGAAACTGGTATGAACACCAACCAGACCCGTTTATGGAGATAGGATTTGTTACAATTCTATGGGACTACACAATACACACTGACAGAACAATCAAGACCAACCGCCCAGATATTGTTATTAAAGACCACAAACAAAAACGGTGCCTCCTTGTTCATATGGCAGTCCCTGCTGACTTCAATGTATCTTTGAAGATATTCAAAAAGCTGTCAAAAGACAAGGACCTTGAAAAAGAAATCTCGAAAATGTGGCATATGGGAACATCAACAATCCCTGTTGTAGTTGGATCCCTAGGACTGGTTGGAAATTGCAGTAGACTAATTGAAGGGATTCCTGGAAATCCATGCCTCAAGGAGATAGTAAAAATTGTTCTGAAAAGTACAGCCCACACTTTACGAAAGGCTTTATCTATGTAATTTTTTTTTTTGTCAGTGGAAAGTGTCATGATGCCATTTCTAACCTTAGGTTCCTGAGTGAGGGGACCCGGAAAGAAATGTGTAAACGCCAGAAATCAAAGAAAAAAAAAAAAAAATAATAATGAGAAGAAGAAGAAGAAGGAGAAGAAGAAAAAGAAGTCTGGAATCACAAGGCCTAAAGAAGAAGTAGTAGTAGTAGAAGAAGAAGAAGAAGAAGAAGAAGAAGAAAAGAATAATAACAAGAAAGTGAGGAAAAGAAAGTGTGTTGAAAGTGAATGATTAAATCAATCGACAGAACAGCAGCAACAACAAAAACAACAAATACAAAAAAAAGTTAAACAAATAGAAAAAAAGTATTAAAATTGAAGAAGAGAATGGATGGATAGAAGTAAAAGAAGAATAAATAGAATAAAAGTAACATCACCCCAACAAAATGAAATAGAAGGAGAAAAAGAAAAAGAATTTTGATAAAGAGAACATTAATGATGATAAACAGTTGAGGAAGAAGAAATGTTCGCAGGAAAAAAAAGAGAAAAAAAGAAGCGATCATAGAATTCGCAATAAACAAATTGGAATTGATATTTTAAGGAAAAATTAAAGAAAAATCCCGTTAAAAAATAAAAAGGGAAATGAAATTACTTCAAAATCTCGAATCTTTTCTCCTTGTTGGTTGGAGTTTTCGCCTTTATTTTTACACTTCTTTTTTTTCTCTTTTTATTTTCGCATTCTTTTCTGCTTTCCCAATTCCTCGTAGATGATTCAAGATCATTTAATGAAATAACAAGCGAAATAAATCCAATAAGAGGCAAGCAATAATACAATTCGCTAAGCGGGAGATGGAAACACACCAGTCATTTTCTGCCAATCAGTTCCGGGCGAGGTTTTGGTTAACCAATCACAGTCACATGATCTGATGTATTTAAATTCTTTTTTTTTCTTTTTGCTGTTATATTTTCAATTGTTTCTTTCTTTGTTTTTTTTTCATTTCTCATTGAATTTTCTTTTACATCTTTCATTTACTTGTTCATGTTTTTCTATCAAATTTCTAGATATTTGTTTTCTTATTTAATTTCATTCTATAGGTCTGTGATCAATTTATTAAAAAGGATACTCTCGCAAAATTATTAAAAGATCCCAATTAAAAAACACAATTTAAATTAGATATCAATTTAAAAATGAAACGTGAATTATTTTTATTTTCTTTTATCCCATATTTGACATCTTTGATTTTATGAATTTTTCAAGGAATACAAATTTAATTCTTACGCAGTTCGTTTGTTTAATCAATTCACCCCAAGCAAGGCAATAATGCCACTAAGACGCAAGTGACTACTGAGAGTGAGAGAGAGTGAAAAGAAGAAACCAGCACCTCATTCCTAAACAGGGAACAATGGATGAACCTCTACTCCTAGTCAAATATGGAGAAATAGCGGGAACCAGACGATAAGCGAACTTATCCTTTTCTATTGACGAGAAGAAAATATATAAATAAATAAATAAATAAAAACAAAAGACGTTATAAGTATAGCGTTGAGATAACTTTGAAATGAGCCGGAAACCCGATCCTAAACGGGAAGAAAAGGGATAAATCTCTAAAAAAAATCAGGGAGGGGTGTTCTTGTTGAGTTTTGAAAATGCATTCTTTACCTATCTATCATGCCTTTTTTCTCTACCTCTTTATATCCCTCCCTACTTCACTCTCTGCTTCTTTCTCTATTCAACGCATTCTATCATCCTCTGTCGCTCTCACCCACGCTCTTTATATATATGTGTATCCCTGTATGTTTCTCTGTATATAGTTCGTGTTCACTTTAAATAATTTATAACTTTAAAGTGCATACGAAGTTTATGGACACGTCCCACACCCGTTATCATCAGAACGTTGGCCTCAGAATAAAAAAAAAAAAGTTTTAAAATTTATCGAACATTTCAGCAATTCACATTACTTGATCATTTGATTCGTTTTTTTTACAGTTTATCAACCATTTGCAGGTTATTTAAAGCCAGAAATATTTTTAGATTGTAAGATTTTTTTTGAGATAATAATGACAGTGATAAAAGTCTTACTATGTAATCCATACCTGGGAGTATGAGGAAAAGATGGATTCATTCCGTTCGCAAAGGTATTTAGGCATAAGCGAATATAACGTGATAATCTCGCAAACGAGGACATATCGGAGGCAAGAGGAACAGAAGGAAAAACTGTGAAACCAATGAAACGAGCATCATTTAGATCATTCGGACTATTGTCCTCATCTTTGTCGCCATATTTATTACAACGTTTCGGCCGTTATACCCTCCGGCCTTCTTCAGGTGGTTGGAATGTCGAACTGAACAAGGACACATGGCACAGTTGATAAAGGCGTTAGTTCGATCCAGTGACAAGACCCAAAGAGTGTGAGTTCAATACCCGGTTAAGGCAGTGGAGAACTTTCAGAGGAAAATTAACAGCAGATAACTGATAACTGACATCCATTAAACATGGCACGTGGAACTAGAACAGTCTACCCCAGTGAGCGAAATAAAGGGTTCATTTCTCAGAAATATAGACAGACAATGAAACGAGTTTGGCTAAATCGATGTTAGATCATGGAGTCAGAAAAATAGTAATAAATAATATTTAGATTGTAAGGATTTTTATTTTTTATATAAATAATGATTGATATAAGTTTTATTATTTAACTCAAAGCTGGGGAAAAGAGGTGGATTTATGCCTAATCAGAATTAGATTAAAAACAAAACAAGGAATTATAATGTTGATATAAATTGGGGGGATCTATTGTGTTACAATCAGTGTATAAATTGAACCCTCACTTTTAAGCCAATGTAGTTTTAATACATTTACATTCCTGACAATGTAAATCAATCTAAAAGACATGACGACGAGAAATTGTAATATGGATATAAAATGGGGTTTCAATTTCATATTACAATCAATATATAAACTGATCCCTCACTTTGTGGCTACGGTAGTTTCTATACATTTATATTCCAGAATTTACAAATAAATCTAAAAGACATTTCATTGATGGAATCATTCGTTTTTTACGGCTTGTCAACCATTTGCAGTTTATTTAAAGCCAGAAAATTTTAGATTGTAAATATTTTTAGATAATAAGGATTTAGTGATACAAGTCCTACTCGTTAACCCGTAGCTGGGGAAGAAGAGCTGGATTCATACCTTTCCAAAGGTAATTAAAACTTAAGCGGGGTACAGTACATTTCTCATATGTTTGGGTTTTTTTTCTTTTTTTTTTCTTTTTCCATCACACGTACTGTGACGTATTCGAAGTATTAGAAAGTTCGGGTGCGCTAATGTCTTTCAAAATTGAAAGGAAGGTGATTTTGAAAGAAAAGAAAAAAATTCGCGCAAAATGAATGTAAACAAACTTCGGTGATTGGTTGCGTATACGAAGAAAGTTTATTCCGAATTAAGGTATCGAATAAAGGTAAAATAATTTTATTATTTCTAAATTCTTCTAACTTTTAAATACATAAGACGCTGAAGGTAAACGTCTGAAAGCTTAAAATATAAAGTCCGCCTGAATGTCACCTTCAGGGTTAATCTATAACTGATACTATTAATAAATAATATACATACCTGTATCATTGATGGTAGCATTAGGGGTGGACAGGGTGATTGAAGAAAGGGTGGATGTGATGAGTTCGGTGACGTTACTTGGAGGTTCCATTGGTTTTTTCTCGAGGACTTCGACCGTGCGAAACTGTAATGAATAAAAGAGAAAATGTGAATTGTCATAGATTAGGAAAGACATTATAAGTCCTAATCAAAGAAGAAACATGTCCACTGTTATCAAATCCTTTGCCTACCAAACGATTAAGTAATAATTCTATAAACGTCATAAAAACAAAACGCTCTGTAATTGTCTTTAGCATGACACTTTCAGTGTATAAAGATTACAAAATAATAAGCCAATTTACCACGCATCCGGTTATCATAGTGTATGTCATTTACCTTCTTGACCAGCAGCGCCCTCTGCTCCCTGGAGTCTAACAGCATTTTAGATATTCATCTGTTCTAAATGACTTGGCTAATATTTTGTAGAATTTATTAATAATTTAATCATTTCGATAAAATCATTTTCTTTGGAAGTTTATCCACATTCACAGGAACAGCAGCAGCAGGCCTGCCACCGGAGCCTTTCACTAAGGTTTATTTCTCTTTTCACTTCGCAATTGCCATTAACGTCACTGAGTGATTAGTTACGTGTGTTATCATCACCTGCAGCCTTTTTGTAAAAAGTCATAAATTTGCTGTGAATGCTTGCTGCACTTACTTTCATCAAAATTATTCCATAACACCTCTTTTCATTCGACCTCTATTCAAAGGGACAGGCTTTTAGAATTTGAATTGTGAAGAGGAAAATAAAATTCTCTGCTCTCCCCATCTCTCTCTCCCTCTCTCTCGACATATATAACAAAGAGAGTTTTCGAATCAGTCTATATTACTTTGATTTGCTCACTGTTAAGGTTGGCCAGTGTGTTAGTGCAGCGTTAAAATTTTCGTACGCTTCCTTGGAGTAACGTCCATCGTAGACAATGGCCGGAGGACAATAAATCGACAGTCGAGACAATGGTGTCTCGACATGATAAAAATCTTATGCATGCAATATTTTTCAAGGCCAAACAAATTTCATCATACACCCCGAGAACAGCTTCATATTACCGCACACCACTGCAAATGACTTAATCAGAGGCAAAAATGGAAATCGATTACACCCTGTGTTATGGGACCTTACCCATAATAACATAATGGACTATTCCATACGTAATGAATACTGCGCCGCAAGAGGAAGCAGGGAGTTCAGTCTGAACTCTCCGCCTTCGGGCGGGGAGGAACCCGTACGAGGCTACGCCGAAGAGCGGGGTCTCTTTTGGGGAGGTAAACCGACCCTGAACCCGTTTATACGGGTTCAAAAGGCATATTATTGGCCGAGCCCACGGGCTCGGAGATCCCACGTTAAACCGGCCTTGTGCCACATGATGCCCTCGTGGGGGGTTGTTGACTAAATACTGTTCAGTCTGAAGTCTGGAGTGAGGTCCATCAGGAGTCTGTCAGTCAATCAGAGCGAGCGAGTCAGTCAGTCGAGTCAGAGGCATTCCGAAACAGAGTCGCGTTCAGACAATTAATACATGAAATTGGAATAGTGATACTGGTCGAGACTACATTGTTCTCCCTACTAAACCTGATTGTTCGTACTAACACTTTCTACTTCTCTGTATATATTCCTGTTTGTAATATATCTGTGTTATTCCATATCCGTGTTTGAGTTCTTCTTTATTGGTTCTACCTTGGACCATCAACGTAGTACAAGGACCTGGACCATAACACCCTGTTTCTCCAGTGCGTGTAAAATCAACCATATGGTAAAAGAATGGAAGCTAAAACGTTTGTTTCAATTAATTTGTACAAGAGTGTATGCCACTGAAAGCTGGACAATCTCTCAGATTAAAAAGAGACTTGAGGCAACAGACATTTGGTAGCGATCAGAATTGTCTTTTTGTATCGAAAATGGCTGTCCATTTGTCTCACCCCCCCCTGGATGTTTACACCGCCCCACAAGAGGGACGATACCGCCCACTTTATGAATCACTGTCCTAGATGATGGATCTATCGAGATTTTTACCGAAGCAAATTCCAAACGGAATATCAATTGGTAGAGAGAGAGAGAGAGAGAGAGAGAGAGAGAGAGAGAGAGAGAGAGAGAATGAAAAACAAAAACGAAAATCTAATTTTATTAACGCCATCCAAAATATCACTCATTGTCATTCTCTGTCGTCTCTTAATTTTCATCTCCAAATTTTCGTTCTAACGAGAGAATTTTTTCAATCGATTTTCTTTGCGCGAATTTAATGAGCGCAAAGATTTGTGTTGCAATGGATTCGTAAAAGAGGCCTCTGGATTCTCTTGGCCTTGGTGTTACTTAAAAATAAAAAAATAAAAAAATAACACCGGGCTTCCACCTAAAAGACTTGCTATCTATGAAAAGAATTGCATTTAAATAGGTAATTAATCTTCTGTATGAACTGCTTGGAAAACTCGATGTATGCAAGTAAAGAGAGATAGATGAAAACTGTATAAATTCCCTAACAAGCATTTGTAAATATGTTATGGTAACCTACCCACGCACGCGTGGACTCTTCCAGCTACAAATAGGAGCAGGTACTGCCTTTTTGGAGAGAGAAGTTTCCAGCAGTTATCTCTGACAGTCGGACCGAACATTCTTGCAGTAACACTCTCGTTTGTATATGTTTGTATTACTGTTTCTGTTAATATATTTGTTTAATTCAATTCTTCTCTTTGTGTCTTTATTTCTGGCCCTAACAAGGCTATAAGAAAATGAATCGTAGAACAGTAATCGGGAGGGACGATGAAACGGAAAACCTTACGAGAATATCATAGATGGAACATGCGAGTAACGAGGAAAATTTAAGGACAGATTGATTGATTTGTTTTTATGGATTATCCACCATCTGCAGGTTATTTAAAGACAGAATATATATTTTAAATTCTATGAATAATTTCTTTTATAGACAATAAATATTTAGTGGTATATGGTTTACTAATTAACCGATAGCTGGGGGAGAAGAGTTGGATCCAGACGTGAATATAACGAATCCAACTGGAATTGGATCTCGTTTCTGTAATTAACTATATCAAGACGTTATCCATCACACCACCCAAACTTACAGCACATGATATTCCCAAGCTGTCACCCGTCAAGTTACATACCAGTCTAGATATTGCTTAACTTTGCTGATTGTATAAGAACCGCTGTTTCAACATGATATGGCCATAATCCGAAAATATTTAATCTTATCTTCTAAAAAAAAGAGAGAGATGAAACTTTTGAGATGCAAAATGAGGAAAGGGGAACTGGTGATTTTGACACTCACAGGGCTAATTGACCGCAAGAGAGAGAGAGAGGGAGAAAGAGAGAGACAGAGGGAAGAAGGGCGTAACATATATCTATATCAATGTATTGCAGAATATGGACTGGGAGGAATAGTTAGAGGGTAAGCATTCCTTAGTACTACAAAAGATAGGAAGTTGTGAAGAGCCATGATCACTCATATCCTGAAGTGACACCTACTCACCGAGCTTATGTAAATGGATGACAGAGATGGAAACTCAGGGGATAAAATATTGCTAAAAACTACAGACAGTAGGAAGTTGTGGAGATCCATTAATATTCATGTCTTGAATTACAAAGCCTAAAGAAGTAGTAGTAGTAGTAGTAGAAGAAGAAGAAAGAAGAAAAAGAAGAAAAAGATGAAGAAATAAAAGAAGTAAAAGAAGAAAATGAAAACAAAAAAAGAAGAAAAAGAAGTCTTGATTTAGAAGGCCTAAAGAAGAAGTAGTAATATTAGAAGAAGAAGAAGAAGAAAAAAATGAAGAAGAAAAAGAAGTAAAAGAAGAAGAAGAAGAAAAATAAGTAAAAGAAAATGAAGACGAAAAAAGAAGAAAAAGAAGTCTTGATTTAGAAGGCCTAAAGAAGAAGTAGTAATATTAGAAGAAGAAGAAGAAGAAAAAAATGAAGAAGAAAAAGAAGTAAAAGAAGAAGAAGAAGAAAAATAAGTAAAAGAAAATGAAGACGAAAAAGAAGAAAAAGAAGTCTTGATTTAGAAGGCCTAAAGAAGAAGTAGTAATATTAGAAGAAGAAGAAGAAAAAAATGAAGAAGAAAAAGAAGTAAAAGAAGAAGAAGAAGAAGAAAAATAAGTAAAAGAAAATGAAGACGAAAAAAGAAGAAAAAGAAGTCTTGAATTACAAGGCCTTAAGAGGAAGTAGAAGTAGAAGTAGAAGAAGAAGAAGAAAAAGAAGAAAATACATGAAGAAGTAAAAGAAGAAATGAAGACGAAAAAAGAAAAAGAAGCCTTGAATTACAAACCCTAAAAACAAGTAGTAGTAGTAATAGTAGAAGAAGAAGAAGAAGAAGGAGGAGGAGAAGAAGAAGAAGAAGAAGAAGAAAGAAGAAAAAGGAGAAAAAAATGAAGAAAAAAGAAGAGCAAGAACAAAGATGAAGAGGAAAAAGAAGCAACAGACGAAAATAAAAACGAAAAAAGATGTCTTGAATTACAAGGAATTATTTTCTAAAGAAGAAGAAGAAGAAGAAGAAGAAGAAGAAGAAGAAGAAGAAGAAGAAACAATTAATAGTCTTTCTCTTATTTCCCGAGTATTATGACAAATCTTTTCTATGGCCTGCTTAATACTAAATATTCGGCTGAAATATTATGGAAAAAATAAAAGTCACCCTCCTCAGACAACAATGATTCCATTAGCCCCCACCTCCCAAAAATTTCTTTGAATGATAATGACTTCTCCCCAAATTACGCTCGATATAAATATTCTTTAAAATATCTCAAATAATAAGTAAAAAGATAAACTAGATGTATAAAATCAAATGTTTGATTAAGGCAGGAATTTTAGTGAGGGTAGAATAAGAGGATTCCGTTAAAGAAACATCTGCTATACGAATGAAATGAAAAGATGCCTTGGGATGGAATGGTTTATGAAAATGAAAACAGAATCTGCGAAACAAATTGAAGCCGGCCTCAGGAACGAAGCCAGAACTACTAATTATCAATCAAGTGCATGCGAACTGTACATTTTAGCAGAATCTGCTTTTTGCATTATCCGAAAGAGTAAAGTAGCAGAAAAAAGTACTTAGCACTTAACCACAGTGGCATTTCAACCACAACATCTTCTTCTATGTCCTGTACGCTTTCACCACGAGGGCGATTAATTCTCTCCAGAAAATCACGTCTTTTGTAGTAAATTCTGTCTTTTTACGATAAGTCTTAATCATTGATCTAACAATTATTTACCTGTCCTGGGTATGACGACAAACTACATCCGCGTCCTGGGTAAGATGATAAACAACATCCAACAGCAAGACTTCTTAATTGCTGATGCTCCCATGTCCACCCTGACCTGGGATGGTAGCAATTGTCAGGGTCCCAGATATAGGTAAATAGTTAACCCACAAACTGGGAGGAGAAGAAGTGGAGGATTCATACCTTTTCCAAAGGGTATTCCACTGGAATTCGAACTCGGCTCTCCGATTTCTCTATCGGAGCCGTTATCCATTATTCTACCGTACCTCCAGGTAGGTTAGTAGGGCACCGAAATCCGAAGGCGCATGGGAATAACGAAAGATCACTTCCTAAAGTTAAGCAAAGTCTTAAGAAACAGGAAAATTTCATTGGAAACAAGGAAAACGGACACTGAAATGTGATGTAATATCGGTCTTTCTATATGCCAGTGAATGCTGGACAATCTCAGATTAAGAAAAAAATTGAGACAATAGAAATTTGGTTCAGAGTGATGTTGAGAATACCATGGACTGAATATGAGTCCCGGGGAATTTTTAGAGAAAATGATATCAAAATGGACATTTATCATTTGTGAAAACAAGAAAGATGAGGACAGTGAAAACGAGAACAGTGTGGCCCCGTAGCTTAAATAAAGAGTTCAGTTTTGCTATTTCCTGTGGGTAACCCTGATCGATATATATCTGCTAAAGGTCAGAAACGTTGTTATAACAACAAAGATGAGGATAATAGTTCGAATATAAATAGTGTAAATAATGATAACGGCTCACCGCAAAAATTAATTCGCTGTAGGTTACCCAGATCAATATACACCTGGGGAAGTCCGAAGAACACAACGAGCGAAATGTGCTAACAACAACAAAGATGAGGATAATAGTTCGAATATAAATAGTGTAAATAATGATAACATCTCACCCCAGAAATTAATTCTCTGTAGGTTACCCAGATCGATATAAACATGGGGAAGTCCGAAGAACCCAATGGCCGAAATGTGCTAACAACAACAAAGATGAGGACAATAGTTCGAATATAAATAGTGTAAACGATGATAAAGTCTCATCCCAGAAATTAATTCGCTGTAGGTTACCCAGATCGATATGCACGTGCGGTAGGTCGGAGAACACAACGGCTGAAACATTGTGATAGCAACAACAAAGACGAGTACAATAGTTCGAATATAAAGATGAGGGAAATAGTCCGAATGTAAATAGTTTAAGTAATGACAACTTCTAATTCCAGAAATTCAGACAGGAATTATTTGCTTGTTTACTGAGTCTTGTGTATTTTGATTTTTTTAAAAAACACAATTTTGTCTAATTTATTTATCCTTTTTTTTTTTTGCTTTAGTTTATGACAGGGACGTCATGTGCGGCACACTTAATAATGGCATGCGACCCACTGCACTCTAAAATCTTTAGGTATATTTCCATTTACTGTAGTAACGTATGTCAAGAAAATTATTCTCAGATTGCGCAAGTAGGTTTACTTTCGCATTGAACTAAAGGGGAAAGCGGGTAAAGCCATTGGTAAGGCACATCGGTTTGTAGAGCCAGAGTTAAATACAAATAAGAAAAAAATATTTAGCTTATTTAGAAAACTGTTATACATGTGGGGCAGTACATATTGACGTGAACAACGTTCGTGTATAAAAATCATGAAAACGACTGAAAAAAATATAGGTTCATTGATTTTCATTTAACTAACATTTTTAGAATAAAGACTAGCACCATATTAGCGTAGGCACCCTAGTGCAATGGACAGCGGCTCTGATTGAGGTATCAGAGAACCGAGTTCGAATCTATTAGAATAAAGCCGACTCCCATCAAAGCAGATATTGACAGTATAATAAAATGTCAAAATCACACTGAATTTATTTTGTCTATGTATAATTTATTTTATTTACTGTCAATAAAAATTATTTTTTGTAATTATATGTATTTATTATTAAAATTTAATATTCAAAACGTTTTGAAATTTTTAAAAACATATTTATATAAAGCACATTTGTAGCACGGTGAATGCACCTAAATTTCTAATTTGTCCCATGAGATAAAAAGGTTGGACAACCCTGACCTAACAACAATTTCTCTGTTGATGTTTGTGAATAGATGAGAAAATACATTCTTACGGTTGTGATTTTATCAAGGTTATTTTTAATGAAACACACTAAATAATGTCGAGTTTGTACTTAAAAAACCAGCCAAATGTGGCGAAAAGGAATTCTGAAAAATAAATATTACTACCATAAAAGCAGATATTGACAATATTATAAAAGGAAAACAATGTCAAAAATGACACCGAACTTAATTTGTTTTGTATGGATAATTTCTTTTATTTACTGTAGATAAAAATGTATTTTTGTAATTATATATATATATATATATATATTCATATATTATTAAAACTTGATATTCACAAAGTTTTGAACTTTTTAAAAGCATACTTATATAATGTACTTTTATGGACCAGTGAATATACCTGAATTTCTAATTAGCACCAATCGAATACCAGCGCGAACACATTGAGCTTCAAAACAGGGAATCTTTGCAAACTTCTCTTTTATAAAAGAGTTCATTCTTTTAATGAATTTGATGAAAATGACAATTTATCTAGAAATGAAAAACATGAAAACTGCCGAAAAAGTAGGTTGAGTGATTACCATTTAACTAACATTCCTAGAATAAAGACTAGTACCATAAAAGCGAAGGTACCCTGGTGCAATGGATACTGACTCGGATGGTGGAATCGGAGAGCCGAGTTCGAATTGTAGTCGAATCCATTACATTCACTTGCTAATACCCTTAGGGAAGTTATGATTCCTCTTCTTCTCCCCCAGCTATGAGTAAATAACAGAACAGATTGGGTTCTATAGCCATGGAAGGCAACTGGTCTACCGCAGAAAGAATGGCAACCTACCACAGGAAAAAATCTGCCTCGCCCGTCATGTATCGAAAGATACATGATCGCCTAAGCGTGTATCACGCATGGCACATAACTGACTGACCACAAAAGCAGATATTGCAAATATTTTAAAAGGATAGAATGTCAAAAATCACATTGAATTTATTTTATTTGGTGTCTGTTAATCATTTTTTTTACTGTTTATAATTCAGTATTTTTTTTGTATTTCTAGTTCTAACTAGAGATGTGACCTGATGAACCTGGAAGAAATATTTTTCTGGTGAAATAAATTATAGTCATGGAACCTTAAGTATATAAGGCTGTCTTTATTTTTAATTTTATTAATTGATATTTGATCTGTTGTTACATTGAGCTCTGTGGATTACATCCTCTTTCGAATTATCCACACGGATTACTAAACCCTTTATCAACTTACTATATATATATATATATATATATATATATATATATATATATATATATATATGGTATTAAAATGTGTTATTCACAACATTTTGAACTTTTAAAAGGATATTTATATGAAGTACATTTGTGACCCGGTATATATATATCAAGATTTCTAATTTGGCCCATTTGGAAAAAAAGGTTGGACAACACTGAGGCAATGTTTATCTCTGGAAATGAACGGGAGTAGAGAAGAGCATTATGGTCACGTAACGACTATTTAATTATTTATTTATTTATTTATTTTTTTAGTTTGAAATCTGAGGCAGCCAAGATGACCTTATATTTCTGTATTTGTTTTGATCCATGATCGCCTTAATGAACCTCTTTACTCGATGTGAAGTTGTTTCTAACTGAGACCCGCCTACTAGATTAAACGATCGCCATGTTTCGCACAATTAGTTATGATTCATGTGAGTAGTATACACTTATCAGACTGAGTGTCATTACGAGTATATGTTTGACTATTACTTGAGTTACTTTCTTGGCAAGCTGCTCTTTCACGCACTAATAAAAGTACTTTTGTAAGTGAATATACCTAAATTTCTTATTTGACCCATTAGGAAAAAATGGTTGGACAACCGTGGATTATTGTTTTGTTTCTTTATTTAAGTAATGGTTGTGCGTTCAGGATCAGGTCATTGTACATTTCTTAGAATCTCCCTGTAGTTTTTTTTGGGGGGCAGTGTTGGTTTCGAGCTTTCTAAACTGTAATTTGATCCTTTTTCTCATCCCTGACACAGGAATTGTTATCACCATCTTTTCAATTTTATTTCTTTGACCATGGATCAGGTGATAGTCAAACGGACCGAATACGCCGCTGTCTTTTCGCTTCGAGTAATCTATAGACATCCAGACGACATTTTGCAAAAATTTATTCAGTATTCTGAATTTTGTTTATTGTTTGCACGATTCTTATTGGATCGCCTTTCCTGCCCACTCATGAATATGTCTTTTTTTTTCTATTTGTACTGCTGTGCTAATCATCATTTCTACTTCCCATTAATAAATTTTGTATTTTCAAGCTGTTCCTTTTATTTTCTGTGTCGCTTAGATTATTTTTTTTAAATATTTTTTAGCGTTTTTCTTTATTCTTTATTCTGAGAATTCTCGTGAGAATGGCAAAATTCTGAGGAAATTGTCGAAATTGGAAATGGCAGCTGTTGCCAAGAGACAATGGAAAAGTTTCAAGGAATAAACAGAGAAAGAAAATAGAAAGGACAGAAAGAAGGTAAATAGGTTAAGGGAGAGGAAAAGAAAAGAGAAAAATAGAATATATATATATAGAGAGAGAGGGGGAGATCGGGGGGGGGGGAAGAAGATTAGTTACGAGGAGAGGGAGGAAGGAAATGATAGGGAGAAAGAAATGGGAAAAGCAAGAGATTTATTGAAGAAAGAATCGGGTGGGTGAGCAATCAATGACACGGAAAGAGAAAAGGAAATAGTAGTTGTGAGAAGGGAGAGAAAGAGTCGTAAATGTGAGAAAAGAAAAGGACAAAGCAGAGAGAGATAAAGAAGAAAACTAATCAAGAGAGACAGTAAGATAAGAGAGAGTACGACAATGGAAGCAAGAAAGAGAGAAAAATGAGATCAGGAAAGAGAGAAAAAGAAACTAGATAAGAATAACAAGGTTCGATTAGCAATAGATAGTCCGCTCTCTAGCAAGGTTTTTTTTTTTCAAACTGTGGGTCACAATGCTTCGGTGGGTCGCAAAATAAATAAAATGGGTCGTGACCCAAAAATAGAAAGAAAATATACATGAGTGAGAGTAAAATGCAGAATATAAATAACTCTCTCAATATTTCACAGCACCAATATATCTCCGCTAGTTTTTCACCGAGGTAAGCTCGTATTATATATATATATATATATATATATATATATATATATATATATATATATATATATATATATAAATATAGATAACTAGACTCGTTTCGAAAAACCCTCGAATTTTCGATTTGCTAATCAAATCAATCTCGAGGGAAAAAAGGTTTAAAAAAAAAAAAGAGCTACAAACATGGACTTCTGCCGACAAAAAAAAATCGCACAGATGCAGGTCTGAAGCCCAAAGAAAAAACCCCGATACGAGTAACAACTAACTAACAAAAGAGCTCAATACAACCGTAGAGCAGACCTAGATACACCTATATATATATATATATATATATATATATATATATATATATATATATATATATATATACCATTTAATTCCCAGATCAATTCTATGAACAAGACAAATTGGTATAAAATGAGAACTGGAAAAAAATCTTAGATTTTGCCTGACGCGTTTCGTCTTCCGACTTTTTTTTTTCAAGGCAAAAATGAAATCGAAAATGTCTTTGTTGTTATAGTTATATTGAAAAATCCAAACTTGAACAGATAGACGCTTCTGTCTAAACCTTTTTCTGGTTGATGTAAATTTCCTTTATACTAAAGATTTTTTTTCCCATGTCGACAATACATTTATAGGAAAAACGTCGTCAAAATAAAATTTTTTTTTTTCCTATTGTCATTTTATACCATATATATATATATATATATATATATATATATATATATATATATATATATATATATATATATATATATATTCTGTTCTAATAATCGATTAAAATACGAAAAAAAAAGCAAGCGACTGAATTTTATTTACTCCCGTTTTACAGAGACACAATTTTAAATATTACAGTAGAGAAACAAATCGTTTTTGCAAAACGTATGCCAAAAATGTCATAGATTATGTATATCCGTATAGATTTATGAAGGTTCAATGTATATATACTTAGTTACATAAATTTCATTATGGCGGCCACAGTCTTAAAAACATGGGATATGCTGATGACTCAGTGTTGATAGAAGACATGGAAAAATATCTACAAATGACAGAATGAAGTCAAAGAAAACAATATTTACTGGTTACGTAGTTCAGGATTAAAAGCTGATAGCGACGGTTTTATTTTTGCAGTACAAGACCAGTGTTTGCTAATGAGAAATTATCAAGCAAACAAACTCCAAAATTGTGTTAACCTGAAATTCAAATTATATGATGAATATCCAGAAACGACTGACCATCTTGTATGTGTTTACACCGTACTGGCATCTACCGAATATAAAACACGGCATGACAAGATGAGCCAATACCTGCATTGGAAAATCTGCAACTTTTGTGACAAGAAAGCTGCATGGAATTGGTATTAACATCATCCAGATCCGGTTACAGACATAGTTGTCAAAGACTACAGAAACAGTATGCGCTTTCTTATTGACATACCAATCTCTGCAGATTGTAATGTATCTTTGAAGAAACTAAAAACTTTCAAACTAAAAGGATCGCGAATTGGAAATCTAAAATATGTGGAACATGAAGACATCAGTGATTGCAGTTGTGGTTTGGGTTCTGTCTTTGATTTGAAAATTTTATGAGTGACTCATTGAAGACATCTTTAGTATCTTCCACAAATACATCTTGGGAAAGAGAGTGGAGTGGTTTCCCGTTGCCTTCTCTACAGTATTTTTCTTCTGTTAGATTGGTTGACACACTAATCTACAGAACTTCAACTATCCTGTAATTTAACAGTCATTTAGCAGAAGGGAGAGAAGAGAAACGGATTATATGCAGATGACACAGTACTGATAGCAGACACGGAAATTAAAATACAAAATCTTCGACAGAAGGTAGCAACGGAGAGTATGCTTTGATTCCTTGATCGTCTACGGTAAATTTGATTCTACATTCTTACATCATTTCCTTTTCTTGGCAGATCTTCTGAAATGTGAAATTGTTTATTACAAAGTAATAAAGAAAGCAGCTTAGGGAATCTGATTGAAACCGACTTAGCTGCATGTCCAGACACGTCTGAAAAATAATTAAATTTAAAATTTCAGCCTTCCAACATCATCAGCGTTTCGTCCCGGTAGATAATTTTAATCGACGTTCCGGTTTTTATATCGCCCTTTCCGACACATTTGATTCTATCAACAAAAAACGCTAATAAAGTTTTTCTAGCGGAGGAGACCTGATACAAAAACTGCTTTCGGTTTTTCATTCATTTGCCTGTCGTATATATATATATATATATATATATATATATATATATATATATATATATATATATATAAGTTCAGAGCAGATAACATTAGAAAGATTTTAGAGTCCCATGAAAATAAGTGGATACAACGTCTAAAAACAAAATACCCAGCCGGGCTAAATCATAAATTTAACAAATATATAGATAGTCAACAAATCAAAACGTACCCACATTTTCACCCACACAAGACAGACATACTTACGGAGGTGTGTGGGGGCCTCACACTTATACACACACCCCACACGAATATATACACTTACACACATCATATTCACTCACTCCCTAATGAGCCAAATGATAACACACACCTACAGCAATACACACGCTTACACATATCATACTCACTCACCCCTAAGAACCAAATAACACACACACAAACACTAAACAGAGACACATCCCTCACCAGGTCCAATAAAACTGTCAAACTGACCAGAGAATTGAGAGTAACATGTATCTATCCAGCTCTTATCTCAAATAACAACTTAAAAGAGACTGTTTGACCAACCCAAGGAATGTTAAAAAGATTCATGTTAAAAAAAGATAAAAAAAAAAAAACAAATGAAACTACAGACAAAAGTTCATTTTCTCCAACAAAAGACATTCATTTCTGTAGTTCACTGCCAACAGCAAGCAGAAATATTTCTCCTCCCGATGATGGGCATTTCGGTCGAAACTAGTCGAGGAATCTAAATGGAATAATAATAAAAAAACGAAAGAATATTAATCTACAACCCAGTGTGTTTAAAGATTTTAATTTTTTTATTTTCTTATTATTTATATATATATATATATATATATATATATATATATATATATATATATATATATATTGTTTATACAAAACTAGGTAATCCGTATGGGTAGACCCAAAGAGGATATCCGAAACAAGAAAAAAGTTTAGGAAAATAAAAAAGATTTACTAGAGGTAGAATGAATTACTCTTTCAATGTACTTTCTATGAATTTTTTCCAATCGACTATTTCATAGAAAATACCCAAAACTCCAACAAACATCAAATTAAATTCTTCGTAGATTTTGTAGACATTTAGATTTATATCAAACTTTAACCCCCAAATATACCCTTTAAAGGAATGCGAAATAACAGCGTCTAAGAATTTGAATGAAACCTTCTCTCATCAGGATCGTTTTATTGTATTTTCTTCCTTTTATGTCGGCTTTCCTCTTCACCCCTTACCCATCCATATCTAAAGATAACATAAGTTAAGCGTTTGTCTGTCCCACACCAAGTGGGGTTAGGGATAAAGAATTGAAATGGTACATCTAACTCACTCATGTCTTCTCTCCCCCTCACTTCCTCACTTCGCCTTATCTCCCCCCTCACTTCCTCACTTCGCCTTATCTCCCCCCTCACTTCCTCACTTCGTTTCTTTACATATGCTTAATACGGCCCGTCAAAAATGTGTAAATTTCTTTTCATTTCAACCTTTGGAAGTAAAGTCTGATGATCCAGAGCCCTTGAAAAGGTCTGTGGTGAAATAATTTATTACATGGAAGCTTAAAGTGGTCTGTTTTTTATTCAAACAAATATATATATATAGCGAGAGAATGAGAGAGAGAGAGAGAAGGGAGAGAAAGAAAGAAAAAAGAGAAAGTGATAAAGAAAGAAATAGAAGGAGAGAGCTTGAAAGAAAAAAGAGAGAGAAAGAGAAATAAAAAGAAAGTAAAAAAGAGAAATAGATAAAGAAAGAAAAATAGACTGAGAGAGAAAGAGAGAGAAGGAGCGAGAAGGAAAGAGAGAGAGAGAGAGAGAAAGAAACAAAAAGAGGAAGATATAGAGAAAGAAAATAGATAGAAAGAAAGAGAAAAAGAATGAGAAAAGAGAGATATAAAAAAAGAAAGAGAGGGAGAAAGAAAGAGAACGAGAGAAAAGAGAGAGGGAGGAAGAAAGAAAGAACGCTTGAGAGAGAGAGAGAGAGAGAGAGAGAGAGATGAAGAAACGAAAGTTGCTGTAATATTTAAATTACAATGTTCACACCAACCATTACACCATAACAAGGAGTAGACGCTCAACTATTAAAAACATGTCTGTTGTTCAGTATCAGTGTGGAAAACGTCTTAACGGAGAGACAAATGGCAATGGCTTTCGAAAAAAGGAGTTCGTGCGTCGTTGCTCTACACCGTCAACAAGAACGGAGACATTGTAAAGGTCATCCAGACTATGATGGACAGAGGTTGGTTCAACAAGAATTCAAATGGCAAATTTATTACTGGCCACAGCACCAAAATTGAAATGGTCTCAGAAATATAACGACTACACATGAAATAAATCCCTTGGCCTTACATAATCCACCAGCGGACAAAGCCACCACCTTAAGGAGGTTGCTGAGGTGCAAGAAAATGTTAAGCTACCTCAGCAAGCATGGAGCCATTTCTCAAATATTTTCCCATGAGTAACTGATAAATATAATCGTAAATTCCTTTCTAAGGTATTGTGTCTCAGTTACAATCGTCAAAATTTTAATTGCAACTTCAATGTCCTTCTCCTTGTTCTTACACCTCAGTATCTTCCACTCTCAATAAACACTTGTGTCATTTTGGCTTTGTAACCTTGATTGGGGTGAAAAGATTAAACGCGGGAAAACCAAATATAGGTTGAAATTATTTTATTTTATTGTTGACATTTCGTACCTTTCACGTGACCTAGCACACCAATCTACACTTATTGACTAATTTGACACCAATACCAGAAGGTGGTGTTCAATCCCCTTCTTTTCCAGTTCAATATTTTGTTGTAACAATCGCATTTTTCATAGTAAGATGTATATAGATGTGTAAGCCAGTTTTAGAGTGCTTTACGTTAAAGCTATAAAGGAAAAGATAATTTGGTGTACGGTGATCGCCATTGTTCTGAAGGGACACGATACATAGAAGAAGACTGAATGCTGCAATTAAAAAAAAAAGAAAGAAAGAAAGTGAAAAGTGATAGAAAAGGGATAGAATGGTAGAAACTATGGAAAGTAAAGAAAAAAAAAGAAAGGGAAAATAAAAAATGAAAACAGACAGAAAAGAGAAAGATATAAAGCAAAACCAAGACATATCGAAGGAAAATGCAATCTGGGAAGAGAGAAAACTAGAGAAAATCTGCTAGCGAGATAAAATGCCTGAAAAAGAAAGAAAAAGATAGATCTAGATGAAATGATTTTAAAAGAGAAAGTATGGTAAAGAAACGAGGAGTTAAAACAGAGATGGAGAAAGAGAGGTAGAGAGAGAGAGCGAAAAAGAGCATTAAAGAGAGATAAAGACTGGAGGAAGACGAGAGGGTAAAATAGAAACTGAGAGAAATACCGTGAGAGTAAAAGTGAGAAAAAGAGAAATGGCGTGACATCGCGAGAGAATGGAAACTTTGTTAAAAAAAAAAGTTTCTTGAAACAGACCGAAAAATGTGTATTTATGTCATGTTTAATTAATTTCCCAATTGCCATGCTAAATAGTTTCTGCGTAAATAATAAAGTATTTTTTTTTATCTATATATACGCTACATAGAAAATAATTCCTCTTTTTAAATCCTAAAAATTAAAAAATATCTAAAGGAAGTTAGCATTACCTATACTGGCGTCTATATTTATTTGAATTTGCAATTGTCTTGGTTAAATCATTTTCTGTAAGTCATATAAGATTTTTATTTGTACGCTCTATTCTATCGTGGCATGTAAGAATAAGTTCTTTTATTTGAATCAATAAATATGATCATTAGTTGTACTATAAAAATAATGGTTGTATTTAAGTAATTTTGCGGTTGTTGTTTTAAAGGAAACAGCTCTTGACAAGGACCGCCAATCAGTGTTTAACTAAGGCAAGAAATCACTTCTAAATTTTTAACGCGTTCATTTCACTCCCACGGATACTAAACTCTAGGAGTTCAATTATTTTTCAGTTATGCAATGGAGTTACTTCCCTTGAATGAATGGAAAAAGAAAAAAAATGATTTTGAAACGCTAAAAACGAACAATGAAAAATATTTTGAATTTAGGAAGCTACTGTATACACATCAACAGATTCATTAACCCCCTGAAGATGGTCTCAGATGAGATTGAAAGTACTTGGGAAAATGAAAATTATTTGAAAGAAAATTTTGGTATTTTTCTTGATCAATTTTCTACAGACATCAAGAAATTAATTCGTAGACTTGAAATGAGTAAACTATATATATATATATATATATATATATATATATATATCAAATATGAATGTGCGGTTCAATTTATATTACAATGAATCATTCATACAAAAAAGTAAATTAGTAAAGTTAATGATTTACTTTTGTATGAATGATTCATTATAATATAAATTGAACTGGTACAAATAAGATATATATATATATATATATATATATATATATATATATATATATATATATATTGTGTTATATAAATTAATATATATATATATTAATATATAAATTGAACTGCACCACATATTTGATTTAAAAGAACTGAACCGACAAGCAAATTTTCAGGATAACAACTGAGACATTACTCTACTTATTGAAGTATTTAGTTCATGCCACATTGACTGATAAACTTCTACAAGAAAAAATTCTCAAATTGCCATATTAGTAAAAAAACGAACTTACTTAAACTTAAAAAAAATTCAACCTTAGCGTTACGACTGCACGATCTATCCGTTATCAATAACACATCTCAAAAAAGAAAAAAAAAAAAACGTATTTCGATTAACATTATATTTTACGTCTCTGACGCTACCTGAATTTTACCAAAAAAAATATCTTCCATGCTTGAAGATGACTGAATGTACAGTTGAAAGTACTTGCGTATTAAAGAAAGACTTTATACATCTTATAATTTAAAAAAAAAACAACAAAAAACAAGTATCATAACATTCATCGAGTGATTGGTAGGATAAGGCATTTTCAAAATTGTGTTGAATGGATTTCACCATTTTATATCATTAACTTTTCTAATTTACTTTTTACATTCATTGTAATATATATATATATATATATATATATATATATATATATATATATATATATATATGTAATCATTTCACCCATAGCAAGATAATAATGCTTTAATTTTGAAAAGGATAATAAATGAGCATGTTCCAGAAAGATAAATTTTCTTAATTGAACGTAGAAGTATATTAAATGGTTTGTAGAAGTGCTGCTATATATAGTTCAATGTTGTATTGAATATGAAGTGTAGCATAATTTTCTCCAATTAATGTAGAAATGTGTCAAATGCTTTGTAAAAATGTTGCTGAAAGGGTTCAGCGCTGTATTGTCCATTAAGGGTAGCATATTTTTTTCTGAAATTAATGTAGAAATGTGTCAAATTGTTTGTAGAAGTGTTGCTGATAGGGTTCAGAGCTGTATTGAACATAAAGGGTGACATAATTTTTTCTGAAATTAATGTAGAAATGTGTCAAGTTGTTTGTAGAAGTGTTGTTGAGAGGATTCAGCGTTGTATTGAATAAGAAGAGATGCATTTGAAACATGTTAAATGTTAATCATGAATTAATTTTTTGGAGATAACTTTTGCTGCATCTTTTATATACAAAAATATAAAACAAATTTGAGGAACCCCAAGGATAGAGAAAAAGATGTTTCAACACAGACCACAAGAAAAGGTCTGGTGATGTGAGGTCTGACCACTCAATTGCTCCATGTCGTCCTGCCCAGATCATCTCGAAATTAAGATTTAACCATTACCGAACTCTTAAACCATAGTTAATCTTAAGTCTTTCTTAAATTACTGTAATTTATTTTTCTTCAATAATATTTAATAGAAAGGGCGTTAATGTGTGTGTGTGCACGTCTGTGTTGTTTTTTTTTTTTTTTAAATAGTCACTAATTTTCTTTGTAAAAAAAGGCTACAAACAGACGCTGTTATTTTGTTTTACTTTGAAAGTGTTATTTTGGGGGTCCATAAAGATTATAATGTTTGATATAAATTTGAATGTCTCTAAACTGTCTACAAATGATTTAATTTGATGTTTGTTAGTGATTTAAATTTTATTAAAATTTTGCGGATTTTCTATGAAATAGTCGATTAGAAAAATATTCATACAAATTTCATTAAAAGAATAAAATTTTATTTTAAAATATAAGTTTACATCTAGGAATCTTTTTTAAATCTCTTTAAAAAAATTTATTATTGATTATTAAGTTGACATCTCTATCAGTTTGAATTTTGTTCATGAGTTTAACTCGTGATTGTTTCTAGATAGGTAATCTCTTTTAATTAAATTTTAGCTAAGTTAATATATTGGGTAATATTTGATGGTAATATTAAAGATCTTGCTCTGTCATATACTGTATACAAAGCAAGGCGGGAATGCTACTAGTAGAGGCTACATTGAGTTATAGGGAGAGAAAAGACTGAGTATAGGGAGGATTGAGGAAAGGGCAAAAGACAAACGCGATTCAAGAAGACAGAAGTTGCATTTAAATGTTTGAATGTATCTGTTAAAATAATCAAGACTGGTCTCCCCTTGTTTTGTTATTCTCCTCTTTAAAAGATCTATTTCTGTTTACTGAGACTATAAAAGGACACTATTCGCGAACCTTGTATTCTCAGTTGAATAAAGCTTTCTTAAAGCCTACACCTCCTTACGTTTGTCATTACAGAATGGTTAGCTAGCTCGTTCTTCATTTTGTTCTTTTAATTATAATCACGTGTTGTAGCACTGAAAATACAAATAAAATTTGTCTATTTATGGCGTTTATTAAGTTTCGTACCACTAATAAAATGTTTATATATATATATGTACGTACTCGTGTGTGTGGGTTTAGTTTATCCAGAAATCCTTCCAATGATCCAGTTACTTTCTTTTTTATCTCATGTTAAATCATTCACTCGTGTATTATTCATTTTATTCTTGTCCCTGTTTTGATATCTGTATTGTTAGAATCCATGTTTGGCGGGAACATGAATAATAATGAAAGGAAGGAAAAAAAAAAGAACGACGTTTTTAACGAATCTTTTCTTGTTTAGATTCAAAGAATCAAAATTTAATATTCCATCAATTTTTGATTTTTTTTTTTGATTTTTCAGTAATGATATTTTTAATCAAGCGTTCACCGATGTGAATCATTGAATTGTCGATCGATCTGAGTAGATTTTTATTGAAAGCCAATCAAATGGAATACTTAAATTTGGCATTAATTAATGAATGTGTAAGAAAAAAATTACACGTAGGCATAAATAAATACAGGCAAACAAAGAGAAAGGAAAGAGAATAACAGTAACAAGCAGAAATACTAGAAGAGAGTGAGTGAGTGAGTGAGTGAAAGAGTGAGGGAGAGAGTAAGAACAAGTGTGATAGACAGAGGGGTCAAACGTTGCGAGAGAAGGAGAAAGTAAAAAAGAGGGCGAAATCCAGAGAGTTGCAGAGTTAAAGAGAGAGAAAAAAATAGAGAGAGGAGGTAGAAAGAGAGAGAGAATGAAAGATGGAAAAATAGAGGCGGGAATAGAGAGAAGTGAGGAGAGATATAACGAATGTTGAAGAGAAAAAGAAACACAAAAGGAAAAATAACAAGAGAGAGAGAAAGAGAGAGAGAAAGAGAGAGAAAGACAGAGAGAAAGAGAGAGAGAGAGAAAGAATGAGAGAAAGAGAGAGAAAGGAAGAGTGTATGCAAAGATGTAAACATTTTAATTTAATTTATTTATTTCGCATTTTTCGACGAGTGTTAATCAATGTTTTAAAAGTTTAATTAGTGTAGTTTTAATATTCATTTGCGTAATTTTTCCTAAATTAATCTAACAAGATCTAACTATAACAAAACTATTAATAATACGGGTAGAATTAGTGCGGCTTTTAACAATTGCTAGAAGTACAAATAAGAATTATTTTAATGTAATAATAATAATAATAATAATAATAATAATAAAATTAATAATAATAATATTAATAATAATATTAATAACATAATTGATATAATGGAATATGCGTACACTGGAATATGATTGGCTGGTGTCCGTCATAAATACCGACGGACGCCATTGATCTAAACTTCTTACCTGTGACTACGACGCGTACCAGTCGATTACTGCTACCATATTCTACTTGGTTATAGTAGCCAAAACCACTTAGCTACTTCGTTCAAATATATACCTTTCCGGGACATATCAATAATAATATTAGTAGTAATAATAATATCATTAGTAATATAATAATAATAATAATAATAATAATAATAATAATACGTAAGAAAAATGCATGTAAGATATTGAATACGTCAATGATATTGCTTAATAATAATACTTATGATGATGATGATAATAATATTAATAATAATAATAACTAACTAGGAATTATCAAGCACATATACTAAAATATTGTGTCAGCAAAAAAAAATGCAGATTCTGTGATAAATATCCAGAAACAATTGATCATCTTGTATCAGATTGCACAATATTGGCACCCACTGAATATAAAACCCGACATGACAGAGTGGGCCAATATCTGCACTGGAAAATCTGCAACTTCTACAGGAAGGAAACTGTATGAACACCACCCAAACCCGGTTACGGAGATAGGACCTGTTACAATTCTATGGGACTACAAAATACACACTGACAGAACAATCAATGCCAACCGGCCAGATATTGTTATTAAAGACCACAAACAAAAACGATGCCTCCTTATTGATATGGCAGTCCCTGCTGACTGTAATGTATATTTGAAGATATTCAAAAAGCTATCAAAATACAAAGACCTTGAAATCGAAATTTCAAAAATGTGGCATATGGGAACATCAACAATCTCTGTTGTAGTTGGAGACCTAGGATTGGTTGGAAAAGATTCCAGTAGACTAATTGAAGGGATTCCTGGAGGTCGATACTTCAAAGAGATATAAAAAGGGCTTTATCTATGTAATTTTTTTTTTTTTTTTTTTTTTTTGTCAGTGAAAGTGTCATGGTGCCATTTCTAACCTTAGGTCCCTGGGCGAGACCCGGAAAGAAATGTGTAAACGCTAGAAATCAAAGGAAATAAAAGTAGTAGTTGCAATAATAATAATAATAATAATAAGAAGAAGAAGAAGAAGAAGAAGAGCAAGAGGACGGGAAACATAATATCGAAAATGGTAGCAAAGAATAACAGCAAAATAGAGAAAAAAGTCCAAAGAACAACGACATAATACAAAAAAGAACTGAAGAAGAAGAAGAAGAAGAAGAGGAGGAGGAGGAGGAAGAAGAAGAAGAAGAAGAAGAAGAAGAAATAACTTGCCGTACACTTTAAACAACAAAATGTATTTGAAATGAGAAAGTAAGTCTACACTTCATTTTCATTTACAAAGAAAATAAGTTTAAAAGTTAAACGCTAATATAAACAATTCCATCACTCCATCCTCAGAGTGCACACGCGCAACACACTCCGATATCACGGACAATCTCATCTACAATTGGCGCCAAATTCTGATTCACTATTGATCGAAATCGTCTGTACATAAATTTTTATGATAGTAGAAATATCGGTAGTCATTTTCATACCAGATACCGGAAATATAGTTATAATTATCGTGATGTCAGTTGTTTTGGTCATTAAATGAGCCGGGTTTAAATGGGCCAAGTCTCCATCGAAGCAAAGCAGTGATTAACCTCATTCGATTATATTTAGTCCGTGTAAACCCTTCAAAGTGTATCAATTACCACGTATTATTTTCATAACGGTCGGTAAATCAAAGCGTGAACGGGGAGATGTCTGATAAAAACCGATTGACAGGATTCATTTTCACGAGGAAGGAAGTATGGTGCGATTGGTAGCGAAATAAAAAGAAAGTGATCGATCGTCAAGATCGATGAGATTTATAAATTATACCTGCCACGCATTATCTTTAGACGAGAGATACTCGTAATCGAACTGTGGTGTAAGGGACATCTTTTAATGGAATATCGAGTCGATTAAAGGTTGATTATTGTGAGGCACTCTTTTCCAGCCATTGAATCATTGCGTTGATCAACACCCCAAAAATGAAAAAAAAAAATAGAAGTAGGAATAACGACATCAAAACAAAATATAGATCAACATAAAAACATGAGGTAAACGGTGTACAAGGCGCGGGAGCAATTCGGGGTAGAGGATTACAGAATAAGAGCCATTCCACCTGCCTATCCAAGCTTACAGCACATGGCATTCCCAAGCGGTTACCCAGGTAGGTACTGACCAGGCTAGACATTGCTTGACTCCAATGTGATGTAGCCGGAAGCCATTTCACGTGCATAACCAAGCTTACAGCGTATGCTATTCCCAAGCGGTCACCCATGTAGGTACTGACCAGGTTCGACGTTGCTTAACTCCGGGAACCAGCGTTTCAACGTGATCTAACCGTAAGTCATTTTAACTGCATACCCAAGCTTACAGCAAATGGTATTCCCAAGCGGTCACCCATGTATATACTGACCAGGCTCGACGTTCCTTAACTTTGGGGATCATACGAGAACCGGCGTTTCAACGTGATGTAGCCGTAAGCCATTTCATCTGCATACCCAAGATTACAGCACATGGTATTCCTAAGCTGTCACCCATGTAGGTACTGGCCAGGCTCGACGTTGCTTAACTCCGCTGATCGTACGGGAGCCGGCGTTTCAACGTGATTTAGCCGTAAGCCATTTCACTTGCATACCCAAGCTTACAGCACATGGTATTCTCAAGCGGTCACCCATCTAGGTACCCTCCAGGCTCGATGTTGCTTAACTTCGGTGATCGTACGGGAGCCGGTGTTTCAACGTAATGTGAGCATAAGCCTTTACACTATTTATATTTGAACTATTGTCTTCGTCTTTGTTGTTTTTAGCATGACGTTTCGGTCGTTGTACCTTCCGGCCTTCATCAAGTGTAATTTTAATGTGATGTAGCTGCAAGTTTGGTCATTAACAAGAGAAACAAACTAAGATGTGAGTTAAAAATGCAAGACGTCAAAATCAGCCAAGTGCAGAAATCTATCTGTGAAGTCGATGGAAAATATGACAGAGAAACACGAAAGCGAATGCTAAAAAAATGCCTTCGCAAAATAAACGCAACAGAGCCAGAAAGAATTTGTAACAAACAAGGTCCGACATAGTCTTACGTTATATCAGTTCTCTATAGGACACTTTATGCTGGATAATTTTCCTCACAGATGAAAAAGAGTGGTAAGGACGTAGAAATAGGAGCCTAGGGAAGAGTGCGAAGAATATCATGGACATAACAATTGCGCAATAGGGAAGATTTATGGAAAATATGATGGAAAAGATGAGATTTCTAATTAGAATCAGAAAGAGAGAGATTTGCCATTTCTGAGACATGACGAGGAAAGAGTCCTTGGAGAATTTGACACTCACGGGATATATAAAGAGCAGCGACAAAGAAAATGAGCGAATAACGTCATTATACGTAAATGGATGACAACATATAGTGGGAAGGATGATCAAAAGAAAAACTACAGTAAAGGATAGTAAGTTGTGGAGAGCCGTGATCATTCACGTCTTGAATGTACACGAAAAATAAAAATGCAAAGTTAGATAAACCAGAAAAATAATTGTTGTGATTCATTTTTTTGTTGTCTTTCATCACTGACAGTTCAAACGCATCTGATATGGAATTGTTCCCATACTGAAATCTGAAATAAATGGAGGATTATTTTTGGTTGTTTTGTTTTGTTTATTTTTTTCAAAATAAATATGGTCTTTTGTTTCGCCGACATCTTTTATTTAATTTGTTTCTCATCAATTCAGCGTGAAAAGGGTTTTAGCTTCTTCAGTCGATCTTGGTTATTTTGTCTTGTTAGTTTTGTACTTGCTTCATCTTGTAAGAAAAAAAAACTTGATTTTACACAGCCACTCAATCAGTCATTTGTGAAGAGAAAAAGAAAACGTTAGTCGACCATGAGAAGTTTTTTTTTATTGACTTTTCAACATTCATCTCCTTACGATTTATTTACTTCATTATATATTTATATATGTGTAAAAGAAAGAAAGAAAGAAAGAAAAAAAGAAAGAAAGAAGAAAGAATATGATGGTAAGAAAGAAAGAAAAAACATGAGGAAAAGATAAAGAGAGAGAACGAAGGAAAGAAAATAACGAAAGAAGAGAAACAAAAAATTTGATGAAAGAATAAAGAAAAAGAAAGAAGAAAGAAAGAAAGAAAAAGAAAGAAAGAAAGAAAAAGTAATAAAATATGGCGCAAGAATAAAAAGAAGAAAAGAAAGAAAGAAAGAAAAATATGAGGAAAAGATAAAGACAGAGAACGAAGGAAAGAAAATAAAGAAAGAAAGAAAAAGAAAAAATATAATGAAAGAATAAAGAAAAAGAAAGAAAAAATTATAAAGAAAAAGAAAAGGAGAATATGATGAAAGAATAAAAAGAAAGAAAGAAAAAGAAAACAAGAAAATGGAAAGGATAAAAAGAAAGAAAAGAAAATATGAGGAAAAGATGAAAAAAAGAGGAGGAACTAGAAAAAGAAAGAATATGAGGAAATCATAAAAGAAAAGTAAGAAAGAACACACTAAAGAGAAAGAGTTGTTAAAATAAATGCAACAGTAGTAAATTATTCAATGAAAAAAGAACAAAAATGAATAAGAAAAGAAAAGAAGAACGATATTTTTAAAACCGAAAGTCACCAAATAAACTGAAAAATAAAACTCAAAATTAAAACAAATTAAACACTTAGAAGGAAAGTGTAAAAAAAGGAAAATGGAAAGAAAGAATATGCATCAATAATTTAAAAAAATTAAATCAATGGAAAGAAAGAAGCTTTAGAAAAACGAAAGTCAGAAAGAAAGAAAGTGAAAAGACTCACAGGAAGAAAAAAATGTTTTAAAAGAATAAATTCGCAATCAATATATTTCCGCCATTTTTATTTGTCTTTAATATCTTCAAAATTCAAACCGGCTTTGTTTACTGACGTTTCTTCGTGTGTCAAAATCTAATCTTGTCTTGCTTTGAGGAATCCGACTTCATTATTCCACCCTAATTTAACGATTTTACTTTATCTCACATGCCATAAAAACTGGCCGACACATGAAACGCACGAAGAAATGAAAAAAAAAGAAAAAAAAGTCGTTTTTGTTTCTGATATTTTCAAAAAAGGCATGGTTGGCTTTATGTTCGGACTTTCCTTGATCGATTGTTAAAAGAGGAAGAGAGGAAAATGGATTTAAATATGAATAAAAATATGGCGAATTCGATATCAACAACAAATATTAAAAAAGAACACTATATTCTGTTTGCTATTTATTCAGTAATTTCTGGCTTAAACTTTATTCACCTCCCCCTTCCATAATTTTCATCTATCATTTTATGGAAAGCAGTAACAGCAGCAACAACAACAACAATAATAATAATAATAACAACAACAACAATATTAATAATAATATTAATAATAGCAATAAAATCTGTACCCACCAGTGGCTACGTAGTGCAGGGTTGAAAGCTGATACTAAAGATTTTTATCCTTGCTGTACAGGACGAATGCTTTTTAAGTAGGAATTATCAAGCACATATACTAAAATATTGTGTCAGCAAAAAAATGCAGATTCTGTGATAAATATCCATAAACAATTGATCATCGTGTATCAAGTTGCACGATATTGACACCCACTGAATATAAAACCCGGGATAACAGAGTGGGCCAATATCTGCACTGGAAAATATGCAACTTCTATGGGAAAGGAAACTGAAAGAAACTGGTATGAACACCACTCAGACCCGGTTACGGAGATAGGACCTGTTACAATTCTATGGGATTACACAATACACACTGACAGAACAATCAAAGCCAACCGCCCAGACATTGTTATTAGAGACCACAAACAAAAAAAAAGTGCCTCCTTATTGATATGGCAGTCCCTGTAGACCGCAATGTTTCTTTGAAGATCCTCAAAAAGCTGTCAAAATACAAGGACAATGAAATTGAAATCTAAAAAATGTGGCACATGAGTATATCAGCAATCCCTGTTGAAGTTGTATCCCTAGGATTAATTGGAAAAGATTGCAGTAGACTAATTGAAGGGATTCCTGGAAGCCCATGCCTCAAAGAAATGCAAAAAAATTGTTCTGACAAGTACAGCCCACACTTTACGAAGGGCTTTATCTATGTTATAAGTTAAAAAAATAATTATAGTTAATACCATTTCAGTATCCCTATGTTACCTTCCTGACGAAAGATAATAGGTGATGAAATCTCTGGCCCTGGATATGTGAATATACCCCCACCAACTATTTCATGGGTAGGACGTGCTTTTTTATCTTGGTCGACAGTCGCCCTACAGATGAAATCTTGTGCAAAATTACCCATTGGCGGTCAAGGATAAAAGCTGTTATATGCCGTACATATGAACACTAATGGGTATGTCCCAATCCTCATAAACATGTTGGACACAATTGTAAGTGGGGGTGATATGCTGTCTAAGTAGTCCACCACTAGCAGTGGTTTACCTACTTCACGCCGCTGGCGAGTATTGTATTTTGTTGATGTTATAACGATTACCATTTCATTTCCAAACCTCCGTTTTTGTTATTCGTCATTCACTAACCCTTTCTAGGTTACAAGAAAAAAAAAGAGAAAAAAATCAACAATCTCAATGTTTGCAAACAAATACTCATATCTGATTCGCCTTTACCAGGCTCAACAAGGGCCGCGTCTCTCAGAGAGGAACGAATCTGGGGTCGAAAAATCTGTCACCGGAACAAAATTCCAACAACGAAGTGACACCTGGTCACCAAATTCAGAAAAACTTGGAGCAAGTGACTCAATGCCAAATCAATTAATAAAAAGGAAGCGAAGGAAATGGAATCATGAAGAATATCATCAAGTCCTGACATCCTTTTCCAACGTATTCGAAACCCACAATAGAAAATCACGGCTTAGATATACCAAATATGGTTTACTATTGTAGGAACTGGAATAAAATCCGATCTCAACCCAAACATGCTTGGCAATGTCCCCAAGGACCTCATGCAAAATAAAAGACTCAAAGATGAGGAAACAGATCACATAAAAGACAATATAAGACAGAATACAATAAACCGTCACTCAAACAATAACGAGGTGAGAGTAGAAATCAGACTTAAACCCAGGTTGTGTTTGCGTGTCTGTTCGTTTATATATTGGATCGGATTTCCTACATTTTTCAACCGATTTCAACAAAACTTCACAGGACTACGTAAAATTACTTTGCGGTGGTTCTGTCAGTGCCAAAAATTGGAAAAACACAATTGTTTTTGCACGAAATAAATTTGAAAATACGATTAACAATCATCGCTGTCGCGAGAATGAAAGGGGGACAACTCATATCGAGTTATACTTATTATAAAACCCAGGTTGTGTGTGTGTGGGGGGTGTTTATATATGGGATCGGATTTCCTACATTTTTCAACCGATTTTAACAAAACTTCACTTTTTTTTTTGGCAGGTAGTGTTTCTTATTGTCTTGCACACTTTTTTCTTTATTTTTACATTCAGAATGCTTTAAAAATCCCATTTATAAACTACAGTTATTCAGATTATGTCAATGAAGATGAGTCAAAGGGTAGAATTCCTTGAAAACAACAGAAGTAAAATCCCTGAAGCGAAAAAGCGCATTATTCAAGAACTCAGCAGAGTATCTCTCACACAAATGTCAGACAGAGACCATCTCCCGAAAATCCATATGACAAAAGCCAATAAACATATTGTGCAAATATACAACACTGCACTGCAGACACTGTTAACCGACAGACCAATGGGAAACATCACAGAGGTAAATAATGTCATATTC